ATGGTGGTGCAAAGGGTGGCATCGGATGCACTCCTAGGGATTTAAGTAAGAGTGAACTGGAACGTCTAACTCGCGTCTTCACTCAAAAGATCCATGATCTCATTGGTATACATACAGATGTTCCTGCCCCTGACATGGGAACTAATGCACAGGTTATATTGTCCTCACTGTGTTATGTTTTGTTTCTCATGAACTTTCTTTTGGTTTGTAAACCACAAAATTGTTTAAATTCCACTTGGTTTACGTTCTTAAATTTATATGTATATTAAGAATAAATATGTGCAGACAATGGCATGGATTTTGGACGAATACTCTAAGTTTCATGGACACTCGCCAGCTGTTGTTACAGGAAAGCCGATAGTAAGTGCTAAATACTGATATTTAAAGCTTGTATTGTAATGTTTAACAAAATGTAAATATACTTTTATTGGGAATTTTAGGATTTAGGTGGATCGCTAGGCAGGGAGGCTGCACTGGTCGTGGTGTTGTATTATGCAACTGAAGCTTTACTTGCTGAATATGGGAGTCAATTAAGGGTCTGACCTTTGTTATTCAGGTATGGTCAACATAAATTCATACATGGTTAAAAATTTTTCCTTCGAGATACTTCAAAACTTGTTTTTTCTTTTTTTAATGTTTATATTATTAAATTTTTTCTAGGGTTTTTGGTAATGTGGGGTCTTGGGCAGCAAGGCTCATACATGAGAGGGGTGGTAAGGTTATTGCGGTGAGTGACATCACATGGTGGCTGTTAAGAATCCAAATGGAATTGATATACCTGAGTTGCTAAAGCATAAAGAAGCTACTGGCAGTTTGAAAAGCTTCAATGGTGGGACTCTATGGATCCAAATGAAACTGCTTGCACATGAATGTGATGTTCTCATCCCATGTGCTTTAGGCGGAGTCCTGAACAGGTTAGAATCCATTGCTGGGCATCTTGGTTCTCACGTTTTTGTGTAAGCTGTTGCTTGTTCTGCTGGATGCTACCATTTCTAGCTCTTCTATTTTATTTTTATTCCATCTAAACTGTTGTAGTGCATAGTTTACCCCATTCCCTTTAAAAGTTTATTGGAGTGGTAATGGCTCAATGGTTTACATATGGCTTCTTAATCATAGTTGATTAGATGTTGAAACACTAAGCCAACATCAGCTTTAGAACTTGTGCTTATATGGATAAATACAGGCAGGAATAAACATGGTCAAAGTTGTATTTGTACTAATTTTTCATGACAATCAGAGCTAAGATGTTCTAATTTAGGGCTTTATTAGTTCTTAAGTGTCACATAACCCATTTATTTCATCTCAGCAGGACAACTTATATGTTCTATATTGGAAATGATGTCAGAATATGTTGTCCTTGCTGATAAAAGTTGAACTTTATTTAGAGCATGTAAATGCAAATCTAAAATTGTTTGATCCCTCCATTGAGAAGGTTCCATTATTAAAGTGGAATATTTCAGCAGTTGAACAAACTCATGGCTCTATTGCAATCTGTTTGGGAATTATCTTTTTCTTTTACTGTATCTTAATTGGATTCATTTACATTCCCATCAATTGCTTCAAATATGGGTTGTCTCACATATTGTTTTCATCATGTTCTCCTTTAAAGGGAAAATGCTGCAGATGTGAAGGCAAAATTCATAATAGAGGCAGCAAACCATCCAACTGATCCAGAAGCAGATGAGGTAAATTGTCGTCCTCTTGTTTTCTGATCCTAAAGATGGAAGCGAAATTCTGATCTGAGATTTTAATACTGCAGATTCTATCAAAGAAAGGAGTAATAATACTACCTGACATATATGCCAATGCAGGAGGGGTAACTGTCAGCTACTTTGAGTGGGTTCAGGTAAAAGGTTTTAGTCTGTTTGCCATGCATCTTATCTTTTTCAGATGATTTTATCATGGCACTGCTTACTTCATCTGTAATGGTTAATTCAATGGGTACACAAAGCATTTAAGACATACAATCATTTTGAATTGAATCAATGGCAACAAAAGCAAGTTTATATCATTAACTAGTTAAGCTAAAGAAGGATACTGTATCATGATATTATTTTTTTACATCCGATTTGGCAGAACATTCAAGGTTTCATGTGGGATGAAGAGAAAGTGAACAAGGAGCTGAGGAGGTACATGACTCAAGCTTTTCATAACATCAAGAACATGTGCCAGTCACACAATTGCAATCTCCGGATGGGTGCCTTTACACTTGGGGTAAACCGTGTTGCTCGTGCTACTATCCTGAGAGGATGGGAAGCATAAATGTCCCTTCCATTTCTTATTTCTGTTTCTTTCCCTATTTTGGTTTCTAGTCTCCATAGCAAGCTCAAGCAATAGATTTGAAACATTCTTATCTTTTCCTCTTCAAAACTTTTAATCGTTATCCCATTTATCCTTAAGGAAGATTATTAATGGGGGGTATTTGTTAAATTTCAATTTTTACCAGCTTTGTATTGGAATAATGCATTAACTGTGTTCAACATTCATTCAGCTTTGAGATTGAATTCATTGTAATTCTATATGTTTTTTACCATGTCATTGCAAGTTTGAAGATCTCAATTTGGAAGACTGAGTCAGAAGCTACTGGTGACTCTAATAAAATATATTATATAACATATTTCTGACACAAAACTAGTAACTCTGCAGAATCAGCCTCAGTGAGCACAGTGAATACTGGATAATTCTTTGCTTTATAAGAGGAAAAAATTGGCAAAAGGAACAAAGATATAAAAATAAATACCAAAACCTTGCCCATAACTCTCTGACAGGAAGTTATGGAAAGATAATCTTGTTTATTAAAAAGTATGGGCAAATTGCATACTTCCAATCCCCTCAAGAGCTTTAGAGAAGAGCAAAGAACCAAAGAAAGAATACTCCCTTTGAACCGACTATGGCTTCCATTGCCATTTCTGCTCTTGCAACGAGCTTGCAGCTCACATCATGTCACTAGGAAGCAACAGCAAACAAACCAAACAGCTTATTCTCTGGGGACAAAACAAATGATGAATGCTGTCACCCTAGAAGGCCAAAATGGCTTTAAGATAGATGAAAAAGAGAAACCGGCTTTACAAATTAAAATCAAAAGGATCCTGACGATAATTGAAAGGCAACTTCGAGACAGAATCATTCAGGACGAACGATGGAAGAATGGAACATGGGATCTGAATATGTTTGTCAGAAATGGTAGGATGGATTGGGATGGGGTGATTGTTGCAGGTGAGCTCCCTGGGAATCTATAGTCCCCTCCATTCATAGCTGAAATTCATCCTTCTAGCATATTGAAAAAGGCAAAATGATTTCTTGAATATCTAATGATATCAGATACGTCCTACCAAATTGGCAAATTGATCAGACACTCCATAACAGCAATCTTTTTGCAGGTATTGTAGAAGCAAGGAGGAGAAAATTCCTGGAGATGCATCCGGAGGCTGCACAAACCAAGAACCAGTCCAATTCAGAAGCGCAATCATACCCTGGTGGGCATGGCTGATGCGAACATATCTTCCTGAGGCTGAGCTGCTCAATGGTTAATAAACTCCTTACACTCACTGCAAGCACAACTTCTAATTTTTGTTACTTTCAGAATAATCTCTCAGCTGCATTCCAATATATCAATATTTGCAGGTCGAGCTGCAACGATAGGATTCTTCATGGCTTACGTTGTGGATGCTTTAACAGGGCTGGATTAGTCGGGCAAACAGGCAATATTACTTGCAAGGCTGGATTGTTTGTGACAGTCACCGGTGTCATCCTGTTCAGACGAACCCAAGATTTTGATAACCTGAGAAAGCTTGCTGATGAGGCCACCTACTATGACAAACAGTGGCAAGCATCCTGGAAAGATCAAAATTCAAGTTCTGCTTCTTCAGAGAAAATTGGAAATACATAAAAATTATAATCTAGTTCATGTTCATTACAACTCTATGATTCTTACATTTGCTTATTTGTAAATTGTCAATGGATATATAAATATTTGTTTAATTTTTTACGGTCCCAAGTTCACCACACTTGCCTTATTCAGGCAGGCAATGTTTTGCAAAATTCGAAGCCATTATCTTCGTGGCCGCTTAGAATTACCCTTAAACCAAGACTTCTTTAATCTAAGAAACCCGACGCAAATTTGATGATTTTGCCTTCTTGAGGGGACAACATATTATCATGTTTTATAATATTAATTCAATATGATACACCCTTCATGATTTTTTTTCTTGTGTCATTTAGGAAGAAATACATGAAATTTGTTTAAGCTTCATTTGATCGATGTTTTTGTTATTTTTCCAAATGAATTGTAGTATAAATAAGACAAAGTTAAAAAGGATTATGACATTAAAATTTAAAGTTTAAATTATTGGATATTATTATTTAAAGTAAATTTGATAATTTAAAATATGATATCATAATATAATTAAAAATGATATAAATAAAAAAAATAAAAATGACATCATTTAAAATTTTAATAAAAATCATAAATAAATTTAATAAAAAATATATATAATTTATATTTTCATATCAACACAATTGTAATACGTAATTTTTATATAAAACAAGATACGAATATATAAATTATCAATATTTTATAAAAAAATTAATATATAAATTATCAAATGAGGTGATTGTATGAATCAATTAACAAATTCTCAAGTTTAATATTTTTGTTATTTGTTATTTATATTTTTTGAACATTTATTACTATAATAACTAATTAATAAAAATATAACACCAATTATAAATGTAATTAATTTATTTAGCAGAATCATGCATTTTAACATCTAAAAAATTATATATATTTATATAATTATTCAAAACTATTATTTACCTTGATATATAAATTAAAGAAAATTTTAATATTATTTCGTAATTTTTTTTACCTAGAATATTTTACATTTTCTTTTTATTTCTAATTACGGTAAGGCAAAGCAAAGAGAATAGATCGCTCCTTATCCTAATTGGCCAACAAAATTCACAAAATCCAAAGCAACAAAACCGACACGAAATAAAAATTAAAAAAAAAAGGAAAATATTCACAAAAATAGAAATAATTTATTACTTATCTCTTCTTTTTTCTCTTTACTTTCAGATTTCAATAAGAACAACGGCGACATCGAATCCAAAATGCCGGCTTTTTCCAGAAACCGGAATTCGTCGGCCCGGTTGTTGGCGGACAGCGCGGAGGCAGAGCGACGGCTGCGTGAGGCGGAGGAGCGATTGAGGGAAGCCATAGAGGAGCTCCAGAGGCGTCAGAGGAAGGTGGCGAGTGATGATGACGACCCGCCATGCGACCACGCCGATGACTCCTGCATGGCCAATGCCATTGGCAATCTTTGCCAAAGCTTTCTCCTTTCTTATGGTGTTAGAGTAGGTATCGGGATTCTTCTTCGCGCTTTCAAGCTCGCCAGAGGACAGTCGTATTCTTCGCTTCTTGATCTCAAGGTTAGGGTTTTCTTTATGAAAGTTTCGTAAAGTGTCTTTCTTTGACTTGGTTCCTTTGTAAATTGTGAAATGTTTCTTATAAAATGATTGATTAAATGGTTTTAATGTATGATCAGATTTGATTGTTTGGCGAATTTGCTGGGATTTTGGGTTTTATTATTGGACTTTGTAAGGAATTATGATGTAATAATATGCAGAAATGTGATATTACCAATGTTTGAATGTTTGAACTTTGTTTTTCAGCAACTTGTCTCAGAGAAAGATTTGATTGTGAGAGAGGAAGCATGCCGCATTGGTTTACTTTTTGGTGGCTTCACAGGATCATACCATGCGCTTAGGTGTTTACTAAGAAAGCTGAGAAAGAAAGAGACGCCAGTGAATGCGTAAGTTTGCTATTTAAAGCCTTTTTTCTTTTTTTAAGTTTTGTTTTTAAATGGATGATTTCCTTTAGATGTCTATCTCATTGTGGTTTATGGTAAACGATTGGTGGAATAGTTGAAAACTTTTGATGCATGCTAGATCCTTTTTCCTATCTTTGACATTGTTTAAGGTGGTGATGGAACAGAATTTTAGCAGGTTCAATTGCGGGGTTGTCTATTTTGGCTTTGGATGATTCAAGCCGAAGGCGTACACTTGCACTGTATCTTTTGGCTAGAGTAGCCCAGGTAAATTAATGTATTTTTAAATAGTAAATTGGTAAAGCTATTTGAAATAGTGGATACCAGTTCTCCGGTTTGCAGTCTAACAGTTGGCTTTACTCTTCAGTGTGCTTATAATTCTGCAAAGTCAAAAAATAAGTTTCACTTCTGGGGAAGCCATTGGAGGCATGGCGACTCTCTGCTCTTTGCTTTAGCATGTGCCCAGGTAATATAAAGCTCATATTGATTTACCTAATATGTTTGGACTAGTTATTTTTATCTCTGTACATCAATTGATGATAGTGGAACTTTTATAACACTAGAAATTGCTTAGTTTGGAGAGTAAAAGCTGCCAAAGAGAAGCTTAGAGTAATTTTAGCTATTAATACTACAAGACATGACTCTTTTATATAAGATGTTCTGGAAATGTAACTAATTTAATTCTGCTCCTTTGAGATTGTGAATTGTCCCTCCAATCGTTTGCTTCTGATTACTTTTTCCATTTTAAATGTTAATATTTAGTGAAGGTTGCCATTTTCTAGCAAATTGGAGTTTCCTTCTGAGGTTAACAGTGGTTTCATATCTGCTTTTCACTTACTAGGGTTAGGTTGATGTACTTTTCATCATCCACATTTGTGTTTACTTCAACCCATTTTACTGACTGACGCTTATATTAGGTTATGTATGCCTTTGTGATGCGTCCTGAAAGCTTGCCAAAATCATATCAAGATTTCATTCAGAAGACTGGTCCTGTTGCAGCTCCCGTATATAAAGCTGTAAGGGAAAACTGTAGAGGTGGTCCAGTGAATGTAGCATCTATATCAGCCTACTTATATAGCCGAGGGAAGTTCAATAATGTGAAGTTGAAAGAGTTCCCGTCTATTATTCCTTGTTCTGTTATTCATCCAGGCACAAATTCTTGTCTAGCCCACAATGCTCAGGCAGCATCGGCTACATTCAAGAAAACATTTCCTCTATACTTCTCTTTGACATTTGTGCCATTTGTTGTTCTGCACTTACAAAAGGTACATCTTGAATATATTCTTCTGCTTATAAGAAAAAAGCAAATAAGACAATCATCGTCTTAATGCATTTTAAGCACTATAAAAGGTCAGCATAGGCTTGCCTTTTTTGCATAAATGCTTTACCAATACCAAACATATTTTTGAAAATTGAAATAGTTAATCCGGTTTAGTAAATGCTGCATTAGTAATGTTTTCTGAATGGAGCGGGAATGATGGGTTTTATTATCAGGTTAATTCTTTTAGTTGATTTTGCAGGTTTCTGTCGATCTTTAGATGGCATGACAATGAAATTTCATTTTAGAATTGATCCTTTTTTTTTTTGTTTATTTTGCATTATCATGATACTCTTCTAGTTTATGGAGACCCCTGCTCGTACTTGTTGGCTTGCTGTTAAAGGTGCTGTTCGATCAACATCTTTCTTGTCTGCATTTGTTGGAATTTTTCAGGTAGCTGGTTTCTCATTTCTCATTCACTCGTTTCTTTTGTTAAAATCAGTATGAATATGTTCTTGAATTTTTTTCTTGTGCTATTCAAGGCAGTTATATGCATGCATAGGAAGATTGCATCAAAAGACCACAAGTTGGTATATTGGGTTGCTGGTGCTTTATCAGGCCTTTCTGTATTACTGGAGAAAAAAGCTAGACGCAGTGAACTTGCTTTATATGTTCTTCCACGAGCTGGAGAATCATTATGGTATATTTTAGTGAACCGGCACCTGCTTCCTGATGTTAAAAATGCTGAGGTAAGTTACCGTGTTAAAAATCTGGCTTCTAATTTTCCTTCTGATGGGAGCTTCTTTGTTGGTCTAAGTGAAAATCATGCCCATAGTTAGATAACCAACTTTGTTCTTGATATTTCAGGGGCAAGTCACCTTGGTTTAGGCCCTTATGTCAAAAAAGTGATGAATTTTGTTGGCATGAATTAGGTGGCTAAGTAACCACGTGCTATTGTTGGTTAGGAAATACTGAGTGCTACAGTGAATCCTTGATTGTCTTAAGTGTTGCACATATAAATTGAGATAGAACGATGGTTTCTTTTATGTACTGCATCATTACGATATTAACTGAATCAGTTATTCTCTTATAAATTTGGCTCCTCACTTGTTGCTTCTGAACTGTCACAGGTGGCCTTGTTTTGCGCATGCATGGGAGGAATCATGTACTACCTAGAATATGAGCCGGATACCATGGCCCCATTCCTTAGAGGTCTAATCCATCGCTTCTTGGCCAGCAGAATAAGCAATCCTGGCCCTTTATCTAATCGGACAGTGTCCTACACCTACTTGCTGGCTCTCGATGCCATGAAGAAGCCAAAACTACAGGACAACCGAGAGGTTGAAACTTCAACTCCTAAAGAATACAACCTTGAATCCATACAGGGGCTCTAAGCTTGTTTTCGTTGCTTATCTTATCACCCCTGAAATTTCAGTCAACCACCCATTCTTTGCAATTTATATTCACTTTTTTGCTAAACGTATTAGTAGACCATTACACGGGGATTAGAAATGATTCAATGCCTCTTAAGGCAAATAACTCAAATAGAGGGATTTATTTCTGGTCCTAGTGTAGGATCTCTCAAGACTTCATGTGTACTCAGCACTTCCCCATGGGAACAGCCATTGTTGATGAAGTGAGGAAGAAATGATATGATGATTAATGTAAAGATTATACGAAGGATGTGCCTTTTGCCCTCTCTATATAACACCAGTTGCAGTCTATTCCACGGTTCATCTTGCTTAACGACCAAGGATTTTTTTTTTTTTTAAGAATTCTACACACCTGAAGGCTGATTATAATGTTGATTTCGTCAAATCATGGTGAAGTCTGTGATCCTCAATGGTTTTAATGTTTTTAAAAGTCGGTTTGAACTTTGAATGATAAGTTCAATTTCAAACGGATTAAAAAACTTTAGTTCCAACTAATTTTAAGATAAATATAATTGCTTTTCCACAATAATTTTCTAAACATAGTTTTTCAATTCAACCACGACATTAAACTACTGTCTAGGAAGGAACTTGGTAGCAGAGTTTCATATCAGTGATCGGTGGTGCATATAAGAATAGTGAGATAACATTGGCTTTTGACACCTTTTTGAGCTATTGAAAGGCAACAAACGATGGTGATTTTCTAAATTCTTTAAAATTTCATACTGTCTGAAATCTAAGTATGAACTTAGGGAGCATAATATATTATGAACTTTTAGATTAGCACTGATTAACAAGTCCGCAGCAGCAAAAATAATCCAGAGATACAAGTATAAATTCCACAGTTTTGGTATACACTGGTAAACAACTTAAAAGAACAGGACATGAGATCAGTTTTTGTTGGAACATAAGCTATGGGATTTGCCCTAAGTGTACGACTCAAGAAACTACGCAGCCATCACATCAGCGAAACGAAAACATCACAGACTTGTAATCCGTAGAATGTAATTGTTGAAGTTCATTACTGGTTTTTCTTTTTATAAGGGAGGCAGCAGCTTAGGATAGAAAGAAGATGACAGCAGGTGTTGAAATGTGAATTCGAACTTGCTATATGTCATGTTTTAAAGTGTTAGCATGAACCACCAAAGTCTTAAAACCAGCCAGAAATCTAAATTAGCTTCATTCATATTTCTGTTTTGTCAATCATCTTAGTTTTTGAAATCATTTTAAGTTTTTTGGATGTCTATCATATTAAAATGATATATGCTAAAGTCAGCCGAAATAATATATATCATCTATTTGTTTATTGACACCGGAGTGTTAATGCATTTTACAATTTAAGCTGAGATTAAGAAGGATTTATTCGAAAATAAGATGGGGCTATCTTTGGTCCAAATCTATTAAATAAATGCAAAAATAAGGTGAGTTGGGATACGGAGATTATATTCACACTAGCTAAAAAAAAAGCATGAATATGAATGAGATTATGATCAAATTAATCTGCAGGAGTAAATGGGTTCACATGCAAATCTCTTGATTTTAGACATGATTCTTGCAATTCAATATGAAAGTTCCATGCTTGGAGGGATATTCCTAGCCTATATATTTTCTATTATTCTTTGGTAGAAGGGAAAATAAAGTTTTTTTTATCCTTAAGCAATCTTTTATATTGTTCTTCAAATTTTGTATCTTTTAGGTGAATTTTCTAGAGTAGTGAACTTCTATTGTTCTGTATCATTGATTAGACTTCTTAGGGTAATGTTTCAATATCCTTTAATTTTTAGTCTTGGTGGTGAACTTTTAATTGTCTCTTTTGTGAGCTTTTTCTATTTGCAATGACTCTCCAACATCTCATCCATCAATTTTCGACATCAAATTGGTATCAGAGCTATGGTAGGTCATCGTTGTCAAGCACCAGTAGAAGAGGTTGAAGCTAATATCGACATTACAACAACTAACAATGTTGACCCAAGGGATGCCCTCATAAAGGAGATACGGCAATAGATCATTCAACTACAACATTAACTACATATACAAAAAGAGAGAGGAGATAATGAGGCAATGAATGAGGAACAAAAAAGATAAAGTAGAAACAAATCCATACCATGGTAGAAACAAATCCATACCATGGAAACAATAGCGATTCTGATGATAACACCATATCTCACCCATGGTAAGTTAGAGACTATCTACGCAGAAACCAACTTTAACCTAACATATTCAATCCTAAGATAGAGATTCCTGAGTTCGAGGAGAAGATGTAATATGAAGAATTCTTAGATTGGCTACACACGGTAAAACACATATTTGAATACCACGATGTCCCTGAATATTGTAAGGTGAAGCTAGTAGCTATCAAACATAGAAAGCATGCATCCTTTTAGTGAAAAAATTTGAAGAAACAAAGGAAAAAAAAAAGGTAGGAGAAAAATTGTAACTTGAAAGAAGATGAAAAAAGAGTTGAAAAGAATGTATCTCTCAGATAACTTTTGACAAAATGTCTTCTTTAAACTCCATAACTTGAAGTAAAAAGATCTTTTAGTAGAGGAGTATATAGTTAAGTTTGACCACCTTATGTTAAAATACGAATTGGTGGAATAGAAAAAGTAGACTATTGCCCGATATCTTAAAGGATTGAAGATTGAGATAGCTAATGTGGTGCAGCTACAACCTATTAAACTTTCAATGATGTATTCAAGCTTGCTTTTAAAGTGGAGAGACAACAAAATAAGGCTCATTCTCGAGAAGGCTATATCAATAAAGATGGCTCATCTAATACTGTTGTTTTTTCTAAGCACATTATAAATAACCCCAAAAATAAAGATGGAACCTTAACAAGCAAGCTTCAGTCTAGTGTACAAACCAAAATGTGTTTTAAATGTCAAAGCCTTGGACACATTACTTCAGAATGCCCAAACAGAAAGATTATGGCTCTAGTAGAGAAAGACTTAGAGAAAAATAAAGAGGAGCTGGCTGAAGAGATCAAAACCTTGAAAAGGAGAAAGAGGTAACTTATAGCGATTATGGAGCATCCTTAGTCATATAATATAGCTTGGATACTACACTTACTAAGAAAGAAGATTGATTGCATAAAAATGTGTTCCACACTCGGTGTACTACTTATGGAAAGATATGTGATGTTATAATTGATAATGAAAGTTTTGAAAATGTTGTTTCTACCTTTATGGTACAGAAATTAAGCCTTAAGACACTAGATCACCCCTAATAATATAAGCTATCTTAGCTGTATAAAGAGAATGAAATCAAGGTTAGCAAAAGATGTTTAGTTCTTTTTTTCACAAGAAAAAATTACAAGGACAAAGTGTTGTGTGATGTAGCTTCGATGGAAGCTTGCCATTTACTGCTCGAAAGACCTTGACATTATGATATTAAGGTTATTTATGATGGTTATCACAACACTTACGCATTTATGAATGATAGATGTAAAATTATTTTAGGTCCTATCAAGCCCATAGTGATATCAAAACCAACCAAAGGGTAAGGAAATAGCTTGTTTACCAAGGTCAATTACAAAAATAAATTAAGATGGGAATATATTTATGTATGCACTGGTGTTTTGATTAGTGAATAGAAATAAAGGAAGTAAATAAGCCCCTACAGTAATATAACCATTATTGGTAAAATTTTAATATGTTATTCAAGAGGAGTTACCAACTGGTTTACCACCAATAAGAGATATTTAACACTGCATAAACCTTATCTTAGAAGTTATTCTACCCAATAAAACAGTACCCTATAGGATGAGTCATAAAGAGCATGCAGAGTTGCAATACCAAATTGATGAATTGGTGAGAAAAAGAAATGGTACATGAAAACATGAGCCCTTATGCAGTTTCAGCCCTTTTGGTGCCTAAGAATGATGGATCATGGCGCATGTGTATGGATAGTAAGACAGTCAACAAAATTATAGTTGACTATCACTTTCTTATTTCGTGTTTAGATGACTTGCTGGACCAACTATATAGAGCAACTATTTTTTCCAAGATAGACCTACGCAGTGGTTATCATCAAATCAGAATGAGGCCTGAAGATGAGTAAAAAATAGCCTTCAAGATAAGGGATGGTCTCTATGAATAGATGGTAATATCTTTTAGTTTATCCAATGCTCCTAGTACTTTCTTGAGATTTATGAATCATATCTTTAAAGCTTGTATTGGTAAATATGTAGTAGTATATTTTAATGATATTCTAGTATATAGCAAAGATGAGGACCAACACTTAAATTATCTACACCAACTGTTTTACATATCGAGGGAACAAAAACTATATGCTAACCTTAAAAAGTGTAGTTTCTTTACTTCTAGCCTTGTGTTTCTAAGGTTTATGGTGTCAAAGAAAAGAATAAAAATGGATCTTAGCAAGGTTGAGGCAATTTTAAATTGGCTAACACCAGCATCTCTGCATGATATCCGAAGCTTCCATGACCTTGCATTTTTTTTATAAGTGCTTCATTAAAAGTTTTAGCTCTATTGTGGATCCCATCACCGAATGTTTGAAGAATGAAGCTTTTAAATAGAACAAAAAAGCCTAACACAACTTTGAACTCATCAAAATCAGGATCTCTAGAGCTTCCATCTTGTCCCTACCAGACTTTGATTAAGTGTTTGAGGTAGAATGTGATGCATACAATTTTGGAATAGGTGTTGTTTTAAATCAACGAGGAAAGCCTATAGTATTTTCAGTAAGAAGCTCAATGAAGCCAAGAGGAAGTATTCAACCTATGACAAAGAGTTCTATGCCATTTATAGGGCTTTATTCCATTAGAGTCAATATCTCTTTCCTAAGCCATTTGTCCTATATTTAGACCATAAGACCTTAAAGTTTATCAATAACCATACAAGTTGTAACACTTATAATCTCATATCAGAAAGATGTGTAGATAATGAATGATATATATGTAGAGATATAATCTTAAACTTGTGAGATACCTTTTGTGAGATAAAATCGTGAGAACTTTGGGTCAAAGTGAACAATACCTCACAGGTTAGGTGTAGGTCTTCACAAATGGTATCAGAACGGTCACTAGTCAGCAACTGTAGGAGTCACTAAGTGCTACACGGTGGGGTCATGAGAGTCACTAAGTGCTACACGATGATCTGGTGTGATCTTAATCTTGTGGATGGACTCGACTTGATAAAGACGTCAAGCATTAAAGGTAGGAAGATTGTAACGCTCTCAATCTCACATCAAAATGATGTGTGGATAAGAAATGATATATATATATAAAGATCTAATCTCAAACTTGTGAAGTGTCTTATGTGGGATAAAATTGTGAGACTTTCGAGTCAAAGTGGATAATACTTCGTAAGTTGGGTGCAGGTCTCCACAAATGGTATTAGAGTAATTATCAGTCGACAAC